AGGGAGGGAGGGAGGGAGAGACGGGACCCCTGGCACCAGTGAGGGGGGCTCTTACCTGATGTCCCTCTGTGGTGTGGCCACGAGTGTCCAGGCAGTCAGGCAGACGTTGCCTGCCCTCCGCTCTGCCCTACCACACTCTCCCCTGGAGCTGGACCACGGCTTCGTCCGTGTTGATGAACTTCACATCTGTTCCTCACCTCCGTGCAGAAGAGTAATGAGAAAGCGAATGGATTCACAGAGGGAAAAGGGCCAAGAAACAGAGAAACAAGACAGTATCCAAAAAACAGAGAAGAAGGCCATATCTCTCATCAGAAGATTGGAAGAAAATCTCAGGAATCGAGCGTCTCCTCCAGGGAGCGCGGGAAGTTGCCCTGCTGGTCCAGAACAGGGCCAGGGGCAGCCGGCAGCATGGCCTGCCGGGAAGGTGGCGGCTGTGGAGTGCCACCAGAAAGCAGGGCAGTCGTAGATTAAACGACACCCAGGGAGGCCCATTTAAAAAACCAAACCAGTGACGTGAATGGGGTGCTGTGCTGTGTGCTGTGTCCCGAGCCCTCCTGCCGTTGCCCTGTTTGCTCTACATCCTGGGAGCAGGGGCGCGGCCTGGCCTGCAGGCTGGGTGCAGAGGCCCCTGTTGGCTGGCCTCTGGCAGGCTCAGCCATTGCACACGAGGGCAAAGGGAGTTGGGGGGAAGAAGCCACACTTCTCCTCCTTCCTCTGCCTTAAGTAGCCCCCCAAAGCTTCTGCGTCTCCTCCAAGCCCCAGCACCACTGGACGGCTCTGCCTTAATGACCCAGCCCCTGACCCCACTAGGTTCCAGCCTGACCTGGGTGCCCTGTCCCCAGACTCTAATAACACCACAGTGCCCCACTGTCGATAGCAAAGGGCCACAACCGCTGCTGGTCTGGCTAATCCCTGGGCTAGCTCACCTCCCTGTGCTGGCTTCCGGGCAGCTCAGGAGCCTGTATAATAAATTCCATATGTTCACTTCCTTCTGACTGAAATTCCTAGTGTGGTTTCTGCTGCTCGATGGGACGCTGACTGATGTAAGCCATTTCAGCCACAAGTAGAAGAAAATCCAACTCAAAGTGGATGAAGTAAGGAAATGCATCTTGTTATCTCGAGTAACACCAAGTGCACACGTTGCAGCCTGTAGGAGTGGCTGCATCCGTGTCTCCACGGTGTCATCCAGGCACCAGCTCCCTGCCCCACTGTGCCGGGAGTCAGCTCCAGCCTCCCAGAGCTCCTCTCTTGGTCAGACAGGGCTGCCAGCAGCAACTGGGCTAGGCAGCTTCCTTGTTCACAGTTTCTTGATTTATAAGAAGCCCTGGAAAAGGACGGGGCAGGAGAGGAGAACCTAGAACAAAAGTCTTGAAGTCATAACCAAAGACTCAATGCAGGAAACCTGTCTGCACTGAAAAGCTTACGTTTCTAGTTAGAAGTTGATTGGTTGTTCTCTGTAGATCAATGACTGCTGAGGGCCATTGCCAAGTAGGAATGACGCATCAAAATCCTTGCCAGCGTACCCCATGTTAAATGGACTTGCCTTGGAAATTTGCTGTGACCTTGCTTGTGTGTTTGAGAAAGGTGACCCTGCTCAATGACCAGGGTGGATCCAGGATTAGGGTGTATCCTGCA